TTAACTAGATGACATCTAAACTCCTTTCCACAATGATGTGAAATCAGCTTGTGATGCGAGGACATGCACCATGCAGGTCCCTCTGCAGGGCCACTCCTTTGAGTGGAGAAGGATCCGGGAGCCCCATCTGCCCGCACCCAGACGCACCTGCCCGGACCTCCTCGTGCTCCAGCACCACACGGTTATAGATGAAGCGGATGTACTTGGAGGGGTTGTTGGTCTTGGGCCCCTCCTGGCCCAGCAGATGCAGGATGCGCGTGGCCAGCACCGTGAACTCACAGTCCTCAATGAACTCGCACAGGTGTGACAACCCTGTCTCTTTGCTCTCTGAGTTCTCCTCAATGATGCTGATGATGCAGTCCACAATGGCACGCTTGTACTCAAAGCCACCCTGTGGGAAGGACAGAGCTGAGCCTGAAGCCAGAGCCCGGCCAGACCTGGGACCAGGAACGGCAGGCCACACTGGAGCCTTGAGGCACTGGCTCGCTGGGCCTCGGCCTCTGGCCTAGCTTCGGACTGGGCTCTTCTGCTGCTAACAGGAAGAGTTTAATGGGAACATTTCACAGCCCACTTTTCGTCCTGACTGAGATGAGACCCAGACAGAATGGGTGGGATAGCTGCTGCAGACAATGGCACGGCAGGTCCCCAAAATATCAGACACAGAATCATCACTGACCTGGCAATTCTACTTCCAGCTGTGCACCCTGCTGAGCTGAGAGCAGAGCCGAACAACCAGAAGGTGAAAGTGTCCTGAGTGCCCACCCAGGGTTGAAAAGATCCAGACCTGTGGTCTACACCCACCAGGCCTTAAGAAGGAAGGGCATTCTGACACGGGCTGAAACCTGGATAAACCTGGAGGACATGGTGCTATGTGAACTAAAACAGGCAGAAAGAGACCAGTCCTGTCCAATGCCACTTTCTGTCAGGGACAGAAAATGGAATGACAACCCTGGGGCCTGGGAGGAGGGGAACAACGCACAGCTAGTTGTTAACAAGGACAGAGCTGCAGCTGAAATTGTCACTATCACGAGATGGATGGTGGCGAGGGTTGTGCACAGTAGATGTTAATGAGAGGGGGAAAGTTAAGAGGCCAGAGGTGCGAAGCATGTAACTTAGCAATAGGAACTACTTCGGGTGGTGGTCCTGGGTTGACAGCACCATCCGAAGAGGAAATCCCTCCTGAATCTGATGTCAGCAGACTGTTACCAAGGAAAACTAAATAAATTCCCTGGCTTTACTTGATCTTTTTTTTTGAGACAGGGTCTTGCTAGGTAGGTCAGGCTGGCCTCGAACTTGCAGTGATCCTTCTGCCTCAGCCTCCCAAGTGCTGGGATTACAGGTGTGCCCACCACGCTCAGCTCGCTTGGTCTTAAGTGACTTTAGAAAAACATGCATTTGGGAAGTCTCACAGCTAGGCGATGTTATTGGTCTCCAGCAGCTCTGCTGTAGACAACACCTGTGCTAAAGCCATCTAATGTGTTCAGAACTGAGCAACACCCTCCACCTCACAGAGTGTACAGTTTTAAACATTTTGAATTAGTAGCCATACTTAAAACTCAGGAACAAACAGGGATGGAGGGTCACAGGACCGCACACTGCATACTGTCTCTGAAGAGCCAGGCCAGGAGCTGAGGGCTTAGGAAGTGTCAGTGGTCCCCTCTCTCCTGGTGCCCCTGGACACCCCAGACACCCAGGGCAATGGCTCCTCTAGTGCTGGATCCTTGACCCCTCTGGGGCAGGGCAGGGGAACCACTTAGCTGGAGGCCAAATCTAGCCTGTGAAAATTTGCTTCTGCTCCTGGGAAATGAATGGGTCTTGCTGAGACATTAACAAGTGCAATCACTAATCCATGTGAGGAACTAACACAGCACCCATGTCACATTATTAAAGCCAGTTTCATAAGACACCACCCCGGGAGCTCCTAGAACAGCCCAAATATTTCTTTGCTCAACTCCACCAGTAGAGAACATGCGTTTTATCATCTCAGCAACAAGCATCACCTCCGGGCACCTGAGCAATGGCAGGCTGGTGAGTCACTGTGTCATTACTGTGACTATGCTTACATCATGTATGCATGGGTGTTTAAAGGGCCACAGGCACCAGGTAAACAGCTGGTTAATGGGGTGAGCCAGGCACACCCACAAAGAGGAGCTCTCACTCCACATGGAGCACGCAGCCAGCAGCTAGCTCACTTCCTGCCCTTGCAGATCCCCAACAGCCTCAGCCTTACCTCTTCCCGCAGCATGGTGAACAGGAAGTTCATGAGGACAGTGTGTTTGTGAGGATGCTTCTGACACAGGGCACTGATGGCCTGGACAACCACCACCTGGATCAGACAAGACCAGTGTGAGAGTAGCCTTGTGAGTCACTTCCTGAGTGCCAAGGAAGTATCTCCCTGTTGGCAAGGCCCAGTTCTGGGAGTGACACTAGGGCAGGGAGACAGGACTACACTGGCATGCTGGGGAGCCTGTGATCCCCAGCCACCAAATAGGTGGCTCACAAAGGGGTACCCACAGCAGACCTGGTCTCCCCAGAAGAGAATCCAGGCTCCCCAGCCCTGCTCTCCTCACCAGCAACCTTTAGTGACTGCAGGTTTAGGTTCTCTGTGGCATGCCCCTTGCCTGAAATCATCCAGCTCACTCGTTCGGCTTTAAAAAAAAATTTTTTGGGGGGGGTACTGGGAATCAAACTCAGGACCTTGCACTTGCCAAGCAGGCACGGTGCCACTGAGCTACATCCCCAGTCCTTTTTTAGTTTTCTGAGTCAGGGTCTCGCTGCATAGTCCAAGTTGGCCTTGAATCTGTGGTGATCCTCCTGCTTCTGTATCCCGAGTGCTAGGGTTACAGGTGTGTGCTACCAGGCCAAGCTCGAGCTCGCTCATTTGTTTACTTGATGCTTATCCACTGGAGAGAAAAGCAGCACTTTTCAATGAGCAGTCTGGCTGTGTTCTCCAGGCTGGTCTCCAACTCACTATGTACCCCAGGTGGACCTCACACTTGGCAATTCTCCTGTCTTGGGCTCCTGGGTGCTGGGATTACGTGCCCCCCAAAAGGAAGCTCTATGAGAGCAGGTCCCTGTCCTATTTACTGCTGTGTTCCCTTCTCCTCAAACTCTACAGTGAACAGCCAGTGGTTAATAAATTCTTAAAGAATGAATCGGTGAACCCGACTATCCCAGAAGGGCCGAGTGGAAGAGGGCAGGAGATGGGGCTGTGCACATTCTCAGGGCTGAAGACCTACAGGGTGACATCCCTGCTGAAGGTCCCCCGGCAGCACGAGGCAGCAGGCCTGGAGCCCTCCCAGCCTGGCACAGCACCTTGAACTCATCCGAGATCTCCGACATGAAGGACGAGATCTGCTTCATCAGGCGGTCAATGCTGCTCTCACTGCCTGTCTTGAGCAGTGTGGTGATGGCCAGTGTGGCGATGCTGCGGTTCGAGTCTGTGACCAAGTTCTCAAGGTCCAGGTTGCAGGCAGTCACGGCGGATGGGTGCTTCATGGCCACCTGGTTGGGGGAGGACAGGGACAAAGAGGGCAGGACCCATCTGTCACTCCCTGTGCAGGGCTGAGTCCGGTCTCAGTGTCCCGAGGATCATAGGGACTGGGTCTGCCCGAACCTGTACCCCTACCTTATTGAGGGTGCGGACGGCAGCGTAGCGGAGCGCAGCCTTGGGGGAGCTGCAGAAGAGCTGGAGCACTGTGGGGACACAGGGGACACATATCGGGAACTGCACAGCAGGAGCAAGGGCAATTGTACCCTCTGAGCCACAGCCGAGCTCAGCTCAGATCCCAGCATGGCCCGAGCTGCCAGCACAGCCCAGGGCTCCCAGGGACGGGTGCCAGCTGTGCCTACCGAGCTCCAGGCCAGGCACCAGGGGCAGCTGCTGCCAGCCCTGTGTCACTGGTTCCTCACATTGGAGTGGGCAGCAGCAACTACCATGCTTCCTTCCAGAGAAGGAGACTGAAGCAGGAGGGGTAAAGCAGCTAAAGTGCCCTGAGGTTGGCAGCCAGCTGGTGGCAGTGCAGGATTAGAACCTAGGGCTGGCCACATCTGCAGCCTGGGCTCTTAGCCACTAGGAAGTCAAACTTCACACCTCTCTCACAGTATCCACAAGGAAGCAGCAGGGCTTCCCCATGGTGCTGGGAATGGAGTGGCAAGACCTCTTGCCAGATCCCAACTCAACAGCCTGTCACCCCATGGGTGGCTCAAGGGCATGCACCAAGGCCCTGCTGAGCAACTCAGGCTCTCTTCACTGAGGAGATAGGCAGGACCCTCAGACTTGGGGTACAGAACAGTCCCC